TCAGGTAGCACCCAGGTGTGCGTCTGGCCCGGCGAGAAGAGACCTTTCCGAGCAGGGACTGCCCCTGTCGCTCTCCTCTTCCCCTCCGGCCTGGGAAGGTGCTTTGGCAAGTACCAAGGAGAACCATTCTGATTCTTTAAGTGACCGTGGGGCTCCAGGCGAGGAGGTAATCCGCCTCACGTTGCCAAGGTGCCTTCTTGAACTTGGAGGACCCCCGGGGGACCGCTACGAGCCAGAGGACTGGCGGCACGCTAGTCTCTGGCGAAGCGGAGCAAAGAGCCCCCACCCTGGCTGCTTCCAGCTGCCGCCCGCCGCGCTCCGCGGAGCCGTGGAGAGAGATTTCCATCGGGATGCCCGGCAGCTGCCACCCTTCTCAGGAGGGAGGAGGGCGCAGCCAGGAGAAAACAGACATATTCTTGCCTTGCAGCTGCCTCCCCTCCAAACCTCTCCCACATTCTAAGGACCGGAGGATTCCTGAGACAGCTGCTCCAAGCAGCGTGGGGCCAGGGTTCAAAAAACCCTGGGGATGTTTTCCCTTTTCCGCCCCTGGTTTTCCAAAGTTAGGTTTGCCTCATTCTCAGATTACGTTAGGGTTTATACCGTAGAAATCGTCGTAATTTCAGGAAACCTTAACCTCTAACCCCACTATTAACAGTAAAACACGCTTCCTTGTGCGGTGAGAAAAAATAAATTATCCTTAGAATACTACGCTTAAGGTCAATAAGGCCTTAAAATCCACGTTTTCAGACTCTTTGCTCCCTAAAATGAAAGTGAAACAAAAAATGAGATCAACCAGAAGTTAGGAATCACTGTGAAGGAGTCAGGGGAAAGTGATACTAGTTTGAGAAACAAAATAGTATCCTGGAACGCTCCCCCCCCCCCCTTTGCCTGCAGGAGAAAACACACTTCCACTTTGTCTTTCACACCTTTGTGTTTTCAGAAAGAGGTATTAAACAGTGAAACACTAACTTGAGTGTATTCTATTATGTGTTAATTACTCTCTCCTTGAGCTATTGAGGAAGGTGAAAGTGCTCTCACCTGGTGGTGCTCAGCGCTGACCTTGTAGTTAACCCAACACTAGCCACCAGGTGGTCTGACCACAAGGTAGTCAACATTTGTCCTACATCAACGATGACGAAGGTCTGCAGAGATCAATACCATTTAACATCGCAGGCCTCCCAAAGAGGCAGTCCCATCCTTCAAGTTAAGGGGTGAACTAACTAGATGTTTGACCAGTATGCCCTGGGAATGATGTTACAAATATCCAAATGGCTCTTGGTAGAAAAAAAAGTTTCCCCACCTCTGATTTAAATTATCTAGGGCTAATATTTGTGAGGAGCCACAGTGGGTTACTTATTGTGCTGCCAACCACAAAGTCCTGTAGCTTCACTGAGTCAAAATGGATCGGAGGTCTTGGGCTTGGGAATGCTTGTGTAAAGGAGCCCTGGTGGCCCAGTGGAATAAGCATTGGACTGCTAACCAAAATATGCGAGTTTTGAGCCTGCTCTGCTGGAGTAAATTGGACCAGCCTGTTTATAAATATGAAAGATTCTGAAACCTTATGGAGTTGTGCTCTGGCCTACAAGGTCCCTATGAGTCAGAATCAACTCACAGCACTGGGTTTGGTTTAGAATATTCATCATGGATTTGTGAGCTCACTGTTAACATTGTGCTTTTACTACTGGTGAATAAAGTGAATGTGAAATAATTCCCCAGTATTTTCAAAACAAGTCATCAAAGATTTATAATTTTTCATAATGCATCTGCCTTCTGCTTTACTTTTCCCCGTGTCAAAATGCTTGTAACTAACAAAAGTTGGGAGTTCACTGAGAAAGAATAAGAAGGTAGAATGTGAAACGGTTCACTAACCAAATAATAGTCACAATGCAATAGCTGCAAGGAACTCTTGAGGTGCCGAGCAAAGACCTGGGGTTTTGGCAGGGTAAGTTACCTGCCCATCAGATCTTAAAGCTCTTTGATGACACAGTAGTATTTTGCAAATTGTAGGTACTCAATACATATGATTTGGAATGAATTTAAACTCTAAATTCGCTTTTTAAAATTTTATTTTGATCTAAAAGCTCTTGCTTATATCTACACCACTACTATCAGTTTGATGGAGGGAAAACCATGTATACTAGAAATGACTCAATATGGAAAGCAGTTTCACCAATTTTGGTCCTACCGATGGAAGTTTTCTTGTCAAAGGTCTTTATACAGGGCCTTCTAAAGGTCTTGGGAACATGGAATTAAAAGATGGATTTTTTTAAAAAGATGTGATGTTTCTGTGAGCTTTTTGAAGCCCCTTTGTATCCAATGTCAGTCATCAGATAAATTTACAAAACTATCTTACCTGGATCTCACACTTCTACAGAGAAAAGAGAACCAGCCTCAAGTTTCCTAGCATCCTGTGATGTGTATCTTAACCTTTCTCTGAAGTCAGCATCTTATCAGAATTAAGTTAACACCTAAGGGTTTTCATAATTGTTCATCTTCTGAATGCATTGAAATCATAGCAGTGATAAAAAAAGAAACAACAGTAGATTCAGGAAAGGAAGCCTTGTGCATAACTCAGAGGAATTCCAGTAAAGACAGTGTAATTTCATGAAGATTCAAGAAGATTATTGATCTGCAAACCCTTATCTATCTATAAAGGAAAAAAAAATTTTTAGATCAAAGGTGGGATGGAATTTTTTTCCAAAATAGATACCCAATCCATCCATTGTAACTTCTTGGCATTTTACACAGATACAGGCTAAGTGATGACTTTCTTAGACTCTAAGTCAGAGGAAAGATATCACCTACACTATTTACCATGCGGCTGTGCGTGTGTATCCCTGAATTTGGAGTTCTCCTCAAACTGTTATTCAGCACAGCTTATAATATCTAGTCTGGAAATTCATGGTTCTGGCTTGCAGCTATCAAACATTGTTTAAAAATGGTATGACAGCAGCAGCAGCATCTGACCTCTAACTGCGCAAGAGGGAAGGAGAATCATTGGCATCAACCACCCAAGGCTGATTCCTGTGAGGAGGAGGTCACACATATTTCTCCAATCTGCTTACCAAGTTGGACACCAACCCTTCCTCTCAGTGCACTCGACTTTGCTGCGGCTTTTGAGGCTCCATTGCAGTAGCTACATAGAGCTCAAAGACAATGCTGGGATTAGGAGAATAACAGGATCAGAATATAGCTCCGTAAGGAGAGCACGGCTGTACCTTCAGACACACTTCTCTCTGCCCTTTGGTCTGTCTGTCATTGAAAAAAATGTCTGCAAGTAGCCTGCTCAGATAGGTGCTACAAAGCTCTTCAGTCCCCCTGCGAAGCGTCCAAAGATACCCCACTCGATCAGGAAGCCTTCTGCCCAAAGGCACTCAGCTTTTGCTAAGCCCACCACCCATTTTGTACCAGTGTTCCAGTTTTGCTGCGCTGTTCCTCTGCCAATGCTTCTCACTCTGTCTACCTTTACAACTCTCTCTCCTCCAAAAGGTTCTCAGCCCTGGGACTCTGAGTCCAAAGGACACACTCCACTCCCAGCTCTTCTTTCTTGATGGGTGTGAGCCTTGAAAGGCTCATTATAATCCTAGTGGGAGGGTAACACTGTTCAACGGACACCAGCGTTAGTGTTCCATCCCTTCCCTGCTTGTTTTTATCTCCTGTTATCTCTTGTAAGATAAAAGTGTGACTCAAGTCAGGGCTTGCCTTTGAGAAAGTCAAGAAGGGTGGTAACCTGAGTCACACCTGCTAGTAAGATGGTGGGTCAAGATACATCCCACTTTGTTAACTTATCAGGCAACTTTTTCCAAAATGGGGCCATAAACACAGGCTGCCATTTACAACATATCACAAAATAGAGGACAATTATTTCAAATCACAAAATGGAGAACAAACACAAAACTGAGAATCATGGCCTCCTCAAGATGATACATATTCCTATTTGGGGGGAACATAAATTCAAACCACAAAATCCCACGCTTAGTCTTATCCACATCATTGTGGGAGTTACAAAGATTATAGCTAGAAAGGACATATTAAGTAATTCACTTTAACTTTTTTCCAACAATTTTATTGGCATATAATTTACTATACAGCTCAATCACATCAAGAATAATTGTACAAAAAAAAGAATTGTACAATCATCACCACAATCAGCTTTAGAACATTTTCTTTCTTTTTTTCTAACAATTTTGATAGCATTTCATCCAAATGTCATACAAGTCAATAATTCAATCATATCAAGAAGAGTTATACAATTATCACCACATTCAATTTTAGAAAATATTCTTTCTTGTACTCATTGTTATTCGTGTGATTTTTTTTCTAATTGTGGCAAAAATCTATGCAACAAAACAGTCTCCAACTCCACAATTTCTACATGTATGATTCAGGATCATTGAATGTACTCTTCATGTTGCACAACCATTGTTGATATCCTTTTCCACGTGATTCCCCCACCAGTAACAGAGACTCACTGCCCCCTAAGCAACAACCCTCTCCTTCACCCATGGCTACCATCGGTCAAGTCTGGTTTCTTTTTAGTGGTTTTCTTGATATAATATTCACATATCATACACCTCCAGTTAAATTGCTTTCAAAGATAGTTGTATAAGAACATTT